ACCAGTGACTCTGAGGAAACTCAACAGATCTTGTTCATTAGTTATTTCATACCTGCAACCCATGTCTGAATGTCTCACTATGATAATGCCATCACCAGTAAAACACTATTGAATGTTTTCCTTGTTTTTTATTATTATTATTAACACACTGGTCGATTCCCACCAAGGCAGGGTGGCCCATAAAAGAAAAACTTTCACCAGCATTCACTCCATCACTGTCTTGCCAGAAGGGTGCTTTACACTACAGTTTTTAAACTGCAACATTAACACCCCTCCTTCAGAGTGCAGGCACTGTACTTCCCATCTCTAGGACTCAAGTCCGGCCTGCCGGTTTCCCTGAATTTCTTCATAAGTGTTACTTTGCTCACACTCCAACAGCACGTCAAGTATTAAAAACCATTTGTCTCCATTCACTCCTATCAAACACGCTCACGCATGCCTGCTGGAAGTCCAAGCCCCTTGCACACAAAACCTTCTTTACCCCCTCCCTCCAACCTTTCCTAGGCCAACCCCTACCCCGCCTTCCTTCCACTACAGACTGATACACTCTTGAAGTCATTCTGTTTTGCTCCATTCTCTCTACATGTTCGAACCACCTCAACAACCCTTCCTCAGCCCTCTGGACAACAGTTTTGGTAATCTCGCACCTCCTCCTAACTTCCAAACTACAAATTCTTTGCATTCTTTGCTTCACACCCATATAAGAGCGTTGGTAAAACTATACTCTCATACATTCCCCTCTTTTCCTCCAAGGACAAAGTTCTTTGTCTCCACAGACTCCTAAGTGCACCACTCACCCTTTTACCCTCATCAATTCTATGATTCACCTCATCTTTCATAGACCCATCCGCTGACACGTCCACTCCCAAACAACACACTCCACCAATTTTCAAAACTCTAAACCTACTCACAATACAAAACATCCATACTTATTATTGCACCTACTACATACATAGAACACTTAACTCTGACATAAATCCTCCCCTCAAACACCTCCTTACCAACCTTAACAGAACACATGACCATAACACAAGGCACAGATCACTCTTTGATGTTCCTCATGTCCATCTCACGCTATGCAAAAACTCAATGCACATAAAATGCCCTAAAATCTGGAATTCATTAGTTGTAAATATAAAAGAAACACTGTCTGTTTATAAATTCAAGTCTCTTCTCAAAAATCACTTACCCACAACTAAATAAATACTGAATAATTGTATCTCATAAATTGTATCTCATATATGTATCTCATTATTGTATCTCATAAATGTCAACCTGTGACCCAATCAAACTTTGTTACTATTTAACTTCATTACCTAACAGAATACTCCATTCTACTGATTACACAACAACACAGTAAATGACCATATGACCTGTCTTTTTAATACTCATTTGTACTAAATTGTTAACTGTTTTACAATAATTTTTGTACCACTGAATATATCATTGCTTAGTTAATCTTAAGTTAATTTTAAGCCTGCCCATAATGCTCTGCATACAAGGGGCTTTGGCATGCTGCACTTCAAAAATTGTATTCCTTGTACTTCTCTGTATCATGTTCAAATAAATAAATAAATAAATAAATAAATAAATAAATAAATACATTCACCTTCTCCATATTCTCTCCCTCCAATCTGATATCCAATCTTTCATCACCTAATCTTTTTGTTATCCTCATAACCTTACTCTTTCCTGTATTCACTTTTAATTTTCTTCTTTTACACACCCTACCAAATTCATCCACCAATCTCTGCAACTTCTCTTCAGAATCTCCCAAGAGCACAGTATCATCAGCAAAGAGCAACTGTGACAACTCCCACTTTATGTGTGATTCTTTATCTTTTAACTCCACGCCTCTTGCCAAGACCCTCGCATTTACTTCTCTTACAACCCCATCTATAAATATATTAAACAACCACGGTGACATCACACATCCTTGTCTAAAGCCTACTTTTACTGGGAAATAATCTCCCTCTTTCCTACATACTCTAACATGAGCCTCACTATCCTCATAAAAACTCTTCACTGCTTTCAGTAATCTACCTCCTACACCATACACCTGCAACATCTGCCACATTGCCCCCCCTATCCACCCTGTCATATGCCTTTTCCAAATCCATAAATGCCACAAAAACCTCTTTAGCCTTATCTAAATACAGGTCCACACACCCCCTACCTTTCCTAAAGCCTCCTTGTTCATCTGCTATCCTATTCTCCGTCTTACTCTTAATTCTTTCAATAATAACTCTACCATACACTTTACCAGGTATACTCGACAGACTTAACCCCCTATAATTTTTGCACTCTCTTTTGTCCCCTTTGCCTTTATACAAACGAACTATGCATGCTCTCTGCCAATCCCTAGGTACCTTACCTTCTTCCATACATTTATTAAACAATTGCACCAACCACTCCAAAACTATATCCCCACCTGCTTTTAACATTTCTATCTTTATCCCATCAATCCCGGCTGCCTTACCCCCTTTCATTTTACCTACTGCCTCACGAACTTCCCCACACTCACAACTGGCTCTTCCTCACTCCTACAAGATGTTATTCCTCCTTGCCCTATACACAAAATCACAGCTTCCCTATCTTCATCAACATTTAACAGTTCCTCAAAATATTCCCTCCATCTTCCCAATACCTCTAACTCTCCATTTAATAACTCTCCTCTCCTATTTTTAACTGACAAATCCATTTGTTCTCTAGGCTTTCTTAACTTGTTAATCTCACTCCAAAACTTTTTCTTATTTTCAACAAAATTTGTTGATAACATCTCACCCACTCTCTCATTTGCTCTCTTTTTACATTGCTTCACCACTCTCTTAACCTCTCTCTTTTTCTCCATATACTCTTCCCTCCTTGCATCACTTCTACTTTGTAAAAACTTCTCATATGCTAACTTTTTCTCCCTTACTACTCTCTTTACATCATCATTCCACCAATTGCTCCTCTTTCCTCCCGCACCCACTTTCCTGTAACCACAAACTTCTGCTGAACACTCTAACACTACATTTTTAAACCTACCCCATACCTCTTCGACCCCATTGCCTATGCTCTCATTAGCCCATCTATCCTCCAATAGCTGTTTATATCTTACCCTAACTTCCTCCTCTTTTAGTTTATAAACCTTCACTTCTCTCTACCTTGATGCTTCTATTCTCCTTGTATCCCATCTACCTTTTACTCTCGGTGTAGCTACAACTAAAAAGTGATCTGATATATCTGTGGCCCCTCTATAAACATGTACATCCTGAAGTCTACTCAACAGTCTTTTATCTACCAATACACAATCCAACAAACTACTATCATTTCGCCCTACATCATATCTTGTATACTTATTTATCCTCTTTTTCTTAAAATATGTATTACCTATAACTAAACTTCTTTCTATACAAAGTTCAATCAAAGGGCTCCCATTATCATTTACACCTGGCACCCCAAACATACCTTCCACACCCTCTCTAAAAGTTTCTCCTACTTTAGCATTCAGGTCCCCTACCACAATTACTCTCTCACTTGGTTCAAAGGTTCCTATACATTCACTTAACATCTCCCAAAATCTCTCTCTCTCCTCTACATTCCTCTCTTCTCCAGGTGCATACACGCTTATTATGACCCACTTTTCGCATCCAACCTTTACTTAAATGCACATAATTCTTGAATTTACACATTCATATTCTCTTTTCTCCTTCCATAACTGATCCTTCAACATTACTGCTATCCCTTCCTTAGCTCTAACTCTCTCAGATACTCCAGATTTAATCCCATTTATTTCTCCCCACCGAAACTCCCCTACCCCATTCAGCTTTGTTTCGCTTAGGGCCAGGACATCCAACTTCTTTTCATTCATAACATCAGCAATCATCTGTTTCTTGTCATCCGCACTACATCCACGTACATTCAAGCATCCCAGTTTTATAAAGTTTTTCTTCTTTTCTTTTTTAGTAAATGTCTACAGGAGAAGGGGTTACTAGCCCATCGCTCCCGGCATTTTATTCGCCTCATAAAACACGCATGGCTTACGGAGGAAGGATTCTTTTTCCTTGTTATTACATTTAAGTTTATGAAGTCGGTCCAATATATTCTGTCACATTTTTGTTAGACATTTACATACACTCTTCTCTTCATATTCATAGAAGAATTGATTAGGTCCTTTTTTGAGTCGGTTGAATAAAATCTTAGCATAACGCTTTGTTTTTGTCTTGCTCTGCCTAGCAGTCAAATCTCCTTGATCTTATTATTTTCAAAGTTAAGACTGAGTTCATCTTTGATTAGCTGAAATGTGTTTAGTAAACAAGTACCTTGGTCTGTATCTGTAGGTAAATTTGGACTGCTTACAATTACAGCATCTTGCAATTTTTCTTGTTGCTTTAGTTCCCTTTGATTCTAGAAGTATGTACTCCATTGAGAATCTGTTTGACTTTCAGTCTATTACAGCTTCTACCATATTGGTAGTGGGGGAAGTTATCTGTTTAGTATGACTCTCAATAGTTATTTGAATATCTGTGTGTTCCTCATTCTTTTTTGTCAAGTTAGTAAGTTTTTCTTCTTGTTCACTGACTCTTGTGTTTTGAGTCGGTTGAGAGCACTCTGTCTGCAATCTTTTTTTTTCATTGGTTTTGTTTTGTAATTGCAGCATACTATTTTCCTGTATAATGCTCTGTAAGGTGTTAATGAGTTCTTGGTGAGGACTGAGTACCTGGGGATGTAGATGAGCTGTGGTCAATGCCGTTGTTTGAGGTGAAGTGGTCTTGTAGGTCAGCCATGGTTGATGATGTGTGGTCAGCTGGGGTGTGGGAAATGGGTGAGGGTGAAGGTTGGTGGTAACTATCCTTACAACCAGTGATAATATTGATAACTATCCTTACAACTAGACACAGTGGTAATGCCTATCCTCCTTACATACATTTGTTCATCTAGAGATATTTGGATAATTTGTGATTGTGATGCATCACTTTCATGCGTCATAAGTAAAGTTTTGATTGAACTTTCAGAGAGCAGATCCTGGAGATGAAGAGTGAGAGTGGTGAAGACATCATCAAGACTCTGAGCAGCATCCCGGCCGGCCTCAGTGTTGATGATGTCTCTGACTTCTGTTCCCTTGCCAGATATTACATCATCAAGACTCCTTCCACATTTAGAAAGGTCAATGCTGCAAGTTATTACAATATTAACACAGTTGTACATTGTAAGACTCTTTTAATTTAATACAAATTAATTGTCTGTGTAACTCAGTTGGTAGCACACTCATCTCACACATTGAGGTTTATGGTTTGATTCCCAGTATAGGTGGAAACAGTAGGGGTGTTTCCTTAAGACATCTGCTATCCCTGTTCACCTAGCAGTAAAATAGGTTCCTGGTTGTTAGTCGACTGGTGTGAGTCGCATCCTGGGGACAGAATTACCCTAGTTGTCCAAAATGCTCTGCATAACCAAGGACTTTCTATATGGTATGTTATTCATATCAGCTATGGTCTATATAAGTTGTGTGTGCACTTGTAGTGATAAAGATTATTATTATTATTTAATGGTGTCCTGTAACATGATCGCTAGCACACACTGCTCACACACTGGGGGTCCGGGGTTCGAATTTCCACTGGTACAGCTGGGAAACATTAGGGACGTGTTTCCATAAGACACCTGCTGTCCCTGTCCCTGTTCACCCATCAGTTTAAAATGGGTACCTGGGTGTAAGTTGACTGGTGTGGGTCGCATCCTGGGACAAAACTGATCTAATTTGCCTGAAATGCTCTGCATAATGAGCAGCTTTCTATATAGTAGTATGTCATTGATGTCATCTAGGCCTGTATACCATGTACATGCACTTGTAGTAAATAAAGATATCATTATGATTCTTATTGTTATTATTACAGTGGACCCTCAGTTCGAAAAGGCCGAAGACTGAAATAATATTTCCCATGAGAAATAATGTAAATCCAGTTAATCCATTTCAGACATCCAAAAGTATTAACAAAAAATACATTTTATAGAGAATATAGTTTTATATGCACAAAACAATGAGAAATAAATATAAAGCACAAATTTTAATGATAAATGAACATTACATACCTTTATTGAAGACTCTTGTTGGCGTATTGAAGGCGAGGAGGGGAGAGGGAGTTGGGAATCCCCCTCCATAAGGGCTTCAGGTATCAAAGCCCTACCTTGGGCTTTGATACTGCCACAGTACATTCATTACTTACCTTAAAATATTTGTAGTCTTACTGTAGGGCAAGAGGTGAGTAGTATTTATTTGTAGAAATTCAGTGTAGGTAGCCGGTAGATGTAGGTACACGTATGTAGCCCCCTGGGTTACATTACACAGCCATATTATTACACTACACAGCCATATTATCACATCGACATACCGTGTTCACTGAGTTTAATTGTTTCTAACTACTACCTTTAGATGCCATCATCAACAAAGGGAGAAGTAATGAATAATTCATGCCGAGAATTGTCAACAGACACTTATGAAGGGCGGTGACTGGACCAGATGCCAGATTCACAGTTTTCTCTAACGCTGAATCAGAGAAAACGTAATGTTTACCCTCCTCCCTCCCTCCTTGATTTGCCAGTACTCACCACTCAATAGCATATAAACATTGCATGTTTATATGCTGTATGCTATGTAATGTGTTTCTTATATAATTTTGAAGAAAATATTATAGATAAATTGTTAAAAATGTGTATATTAACCTAAAATAAGACATTTAATGTGCCCAAGAGTGAATATTATTAACCCTTTCAGGGTCCGTGCCATAGTTCTACGGCTTTGAGTTGAGGGTCCAAACCGTAGATCTACACCATGAGCTCATCTCTCACTGATAAGCTGTGAGCAGCAAATTTGGGCCTAGATATGAGAGAATACATCTCTGTGGTATGTGTGCACCACATAAAACAAATCCTGCAGCACGCAGTGCACGAGAGAAAAAACCGAGACCGTAATTTTCGATTAAAACAGTGACTTTGCAGTGTTTTTTCATGTGTTTTTTATAGTTGTATTTGCAATTTCTTGGTCTCATTTGATAGAATGGAAGATATATTACAGAAATAGAGATGATTTTGATTGGTTTTAATACTGGAAATGGCTTGAAACTGGTGGGTCTAATATACGTTCACAAATGTGGTGATATTATTTATACAATTATTGCAATATTGCATAACAGTAAATCTTCTATTTTTTGGTTTTAATAAAAATTAATTGTGAATAAAAAATCAAAATGGAATTCATTTATAAAGCCTGAAAGCATAACCAATGAACAGAGGAAATGTTAGTTTAATGTCAGGAATGCCTGCATTGTTTATTCTGGATCCTGTTTTGAAATAGGAATATTTTGAACTTTGCATTAAATTGGCCAAATTACCAATTTCAGATCACTTTACAGTGGACCCCCTGCCTAATGACGGCATCAAGTAACGGCAGATTTGTCTAACGGCACCCATTGGCATAAAAAAATTGGCTCTACCAACGACGAAAAACTCATCTAATGGCATGTGGCCTGAGCGGGCCCAGCCACTCCGTGACTCCGTGTATAGCCAGTGTGCCAATGTTCACAAGCCGTTGCGGTCGATTCCAAGTGTACCTGTGATATATTTTGTATTATTCCAGTGTTTTTAGTGCTTGTAACTGCTAAATAAGCCACCATGGGCCCCAAGAAAGCTTCTAGTGCTAAAAAGGGTGAGAAATATTCTCGAAATACTATCGGACCACCATCAGCTGCTGCTGCACTACCGTCAGCTGTTGCTGCAACACCATCAGCTGCTGCTGCTGCACTACCGTAAACTGTTGCTGCACCACCGTCAGCTGCTGCTGCAACACCGTCAGCTGCTGCTACATTACCGTCAGCTGTTGCTGCAACACCATCAGCTGCTGCTGCTGCACTACCGTAAACTGTTGCTGCACCACCGTCAGCTGCTGCTGCAACACCGTCAGCTGCTGCTGCATTACCATCAGCTGTTGCTGCAACACTGTCAGCTACTGCTGCTGCTGTACTACCATAAGCTGTTGCTGCTGTACTACTATAAGCTGTTGCTGCACCACCAGTCAGCTGCTGCTGCAACACCGTCAGCTGCTGCTGCACTACCGTCAGCTGTTGCTGCAGCAACACCATCAGCTGCTGCTGCTGTACTACCATAAGCTGTTGCTGCACCACTGTCAGCTGCTGCTGCAACACTGTCAGCTGCTGCTGCACTACCGTCAGCTGTTGCTGCAACACCATCAGCTGCTGCTGCTGTACTACCATAAGCTGTTGCTGCACCACTGTCAGCTGCTGCTGCACCACGGTCAGCTGTACTACTCGAAGATGTGGAGAGACTATTGTTGGTGTGGCTTATTGAGAATACCAAGAAACAATTAACCCCAGAGGGTTAGCCACCCAGGATAACCCAAGAAAGTCAGTGTGTCATCGAGGACTGTCTAATTTATTTCCTTTGGGGGTCCTTAATCTTGTCCCCCAAAATGCAACTCACACCAGTTGACTAACACCCTGGTGAACAGGTAAAAATGCCTGGAACTAGTGCTCATATTGGTGAATTTAAGGCCAGCAAAGGTCGGTTTGAGATATTTAAGATTTGTAGTGGCATACAGTGTGATAAGGCATGGCGATGCTGAAAAATTCCAACCCCAACAAGTGTTCAATTGTGACAAAGCAGGCCTATTCTGGAAGAAAATGCCCAACAGGACCTACATTACTCAGGAGGAAAAGGCACTCCCAGGACACAAGCCTATGAAAGACAGGCTAACTCTCATGTATTGTTGTAATGCTAGTGGGGATTGCAAAGTGAAGCCTTTACTCGTGTATCACTGTGAAAATCCCAGAGTGTTCAAGAAAAACAGTGTCTCATCACTCAACAGTACTCTTCAGTAAAGGTAAGTGTCATTTTAGTATTTATTTAGGTATTTATTGTGCATGTCTCATTGTTTTCTGTGTAGGGAAATGTATATTTCATATAGAAAAAATTATTTTTTTTAATACTTTTGGCTGTCTGGAATGGATTAATTGGATTTATTATTTCTTATGGGAAAATGAATTCGATCAACAGCAAATTCGAGTAACGGCTAGCTCTCTGGAATGGATTAGTGCCTTTGGTCGAGGGTCCACTATACAGCGGACCCCCGACGTATGATGTCCCCAGCCTACATTAGAACCGACCTACGATGCTTTTCAGCATAAAAATTTAACCTAAATTAAGACATTTAATGTGCTCAAGAGTGATTATTATTACGCGTCCAATGCAGCCAATCTCTGAAATGACGGCCGAAATCCAAATTGGCCGATATCCGGAATGGCCAATAATGGAGGATCCACTGTACGTGTATTATTACAGTGGACCCTCAGTTAACGATATTAATCCGTTCCAGAGAGCTTGTCCTTAACCGATTTTATCGTTATCTGAATTAATTTTCCCCATAATAAATAATGGAAATCCAATTAATCCGTTCCAGACACCCAAAAGTATTAAAAAATTATTTTTTTACATGAAATATACATTTTCCTACACAGAAAACAATGAGACATTCAGAATAAATACATTAATAATTAATAAAATGACACCTTATTGAAGACGTATTTGATGAGTGATGAGACGGGAGGAGGGCAGAGGATGGAGGAGTTTACAATTGTTTGGGAAGGGAATCCCCTTCCATAAGGACTTTAGGTACCAAGTCATTATCCAGAGTTACTTCTCCTTTGTTTTTTAATGCCACAAATCTTTCCATCTTACTCCACACTGCATAAATCTCCATTACTACCACCCTCTACCACCATCACAACCACTACCACCCTCTACCACCATCACAACCACTACCACCCTCTACCACCATCACAACCACTACCACCCTCACCACCATCACAACCACTACCACCCTCTACCACCATCACAACCACTACCACCCTCTACCACCATCACAACCACTACCACCCTCTACCACCATCACAACCACTACCACCCTCTACCACCATCACTACCACCCTCTACCACCCATCACTACCACATACCACCCTCACCATCTACACCATCACTACCACCCTCTACCACCATCACTACCACCCTCTACCACCATCACTACCACCCTCTACCACCATCACTACCACCCTCTACCACCATCACTACCACCCTCTACCACCATCACTACTCACCCT